TTTCAGAATCTGTATACCCTTTACCGATTTTGAGGCCCACGTACTGAAGGCCATGAACATCGTGCCTTCGCAAATTCATCCTAACAGTCGGGGCTTCATAAAGGTCTTTGAGATAGTCTGTGAGGCGATGAACATGCTCCTGAGGATCAGTTTTACCGTCATAATCTGTCAGCGACAGTAACTTGAAGTTTTCTGGGAATTGATCATCCCAGATGGCTTGAGACAATGGCTGAGGATCTAGGAGTTTCACTTCTGGTTGTTCATCTCCTAGGATTTAAAGTTGTAAGTTAGCGATAATGTCCTGCAGAGTCTCGTTCTGCTATCTCAGAGCCTCCACCATGGCTAACAATTGCGCCATGTCCGGGGGATCTCCTTCAGATGACATTCTGGTGAAAGAGTGTTGAAGTGTGGCCTAGGATAATTTTAGCAAAGCCCCACAGTAGGCGCCAATGTTCTTGCGTTGAACAAATATTCGACCGACTTCCTCTCTGAAGGTGAGGAAAGCCACAAAAATAGGTTTGTACGATTATTGGAGATTTGGGAGCTACGTCAATGGTGCGTATTGTCCCAAGAAAGGTGTCTTGCTTATCCCTCTTGTGGGAGCCCCTAATATAGTATTCTTCTTTGTGTCATCAAGATACTTAGTTAATGAGAGACTCTTGAGTTCCATAACCATATAACCTCCAGCGTCTCCATGAATAGAGGTGATTAAAGCTGTGTAATGTTGTAGTAAATGCGCCGTCGGAGGTTACGGGCATTAATGAACTGAGTTGATGTCCGACTATGGGAATGTGATCTCGGTCACCAACCTTATTCGGGTCTAGGGTATATACAGGCTACTATCCGGAGGTACGATAACCGCCCGATACTCCTTAGCCGAGTTGTACCTCGAGCTCCTTCTCCGACTACTAACTTAATCATCTCTTTCGTCGATTATACTACGCGGTCGACCCTAATATTTCTGGGATGTACAATATATATATATATATATATATATATATATATATATATATATATATATATATATATATATATATATATATATATATATATATATATATATATATATATATATATATATATATATATATATATATATATATATATATATATATATATATATATATATATATATATATATAGGTTGGCCAGATCCTTGGCAACCAACTTATAAAGAGACCGAACTAGAGAAATCGGTCTACACTCACCTAAGGAACTAAGATTCTTAACTTTAGGATCCTGAGTCACAAAGTATGAGGAAAAACTCTTAGGAAGAGAAGCAAAACTAGTAATTATATTTTTTACCATCTTCTTTAATGTTGATCCTTCTAGAGTCTGGTGAGGTATCATATCTTTCATTAAATAAATTATAGAAATACATCTTCCACACATTCTTTATATCTTTTTCCTAAACCAATACTTTGTCCTCTTCATCTTTAAGACACTTTATTTGATCCAAATCCCTTGTCTTTCTTTCTCTTCCTTTACCAAATCTATATATAAATTTCTCTCACTTTCCTTGGTTGATAAAGTTTGGTATAATCTGTCAAAAGATTGAGTTCTTTATTTACCCATCTCCTTCTTGGTCTCGTTCTTAAATTCTTATACTTTTCCCAAGTTTCGATATTTTTACACCTAGACCATTATCTAAAACAATCATTTTTTACTAATTTTTCTCTGAACACTTCCATTCCACCACCACAATTCTTTACCATTTAGTTCAAAACCTCTTGATTCTCCCAACATCTCTTTGCCAACTTTTTAAATCTCTTTGACAATCTTACTTCACACGCCATTTTCACTTTCTTGTTGTTGTCCAAATCCTGCCTCCAAAATTTTATGTTGGAAACTTTATTTCACCCTTTAAATGCCCTCACTTGATCTGTGATGTTTCCATGTGACTTCTTTTCTTTGATTTCCTCTTGATTCTTACATTCATAACAAATACTCTATGTTGGATAGTCTAGCTCTCTTACAATAATTTTATAGTCCAAACAAATCTTTCTATTCGACTTCCCAATAAGAAAGAAATCTATCTGAGAATATATCACCCCAGAGTTATATGTGATAAGATGTCTATCACTTTTCTTAAACCAGATATTAGTTATAATAAGATCGAAAGCCGACGAAAAATTCCAAGATGGATTTGTCCTCCACATTTACCTCTTTGAGACCATATCTCCATGCTACGCTCCATACATGTCAATTTCGATTCCCTTATAGAATAAACTTTTCTCATTGGAGTATACCCTGAAGTAAGCCTTCTAAATTCTCCCAAATTTTTACCTTAAGGCGTTATGCTAACCCAATCTGAGGTGCATAAGCACTAATAATATTAAAGGTATCTTAATCCTCTGCAAATTCGAGATTGTGATTCGATCTCTTACTCTTTTCATATCTATTCCTTCTTCCACTCCTCATCCACAATAATTTTCACTCTATTTCTCAATAACTTTGTCGCTGTACCATTTCTTTTACCTTTCACTTGTCCACTTAGTTTTTTGTAGGCACATGAAATTGATCTTATTCCGAACCATAATGTTCATTGTTTTCAAATATTTTTCAGTAAGCGTGTTTGTATTCCATGAATCCTACTTTTATGAAGTAACTTTTTTATCCACACCCGTTCACGAAAATGTGGAAACCCTTACTTAGTTTTCATTGTATCTAAGGAGAAATGTAGCGTCCCTTTCTCTTTTGACACCGTATTCAAGCCATAAAGCGCGCTGCTTTCAAGCAACGATCTATCATTTACATTATTTTATAATTGATTCATGTCATAAAGATTCAACAAAGTTTTATGTTGATTGTGAAACGAATCCGACACTTAGTGCTTTAGACCCATGTTCTTAAAGATGCTAGATGTCCTGAATCATGAACAGAGCCGCGATTTTGCGATGATCATGTGCTGTATCAGAATCAGTTAAGTGAAATCTGTGCTGGCAGTGTAGCCTCTTAGCGTGTACCTCAATGATCTAGTCCATCAGCGAAGTGGACCTCAGCCCCATGACAGAATATATTCACCAAGCAGTTGCATTCTTATCCATTTCAGAAGCTTCTTGAACTCATGTCAAAGTGGTGTTAACTGATGTATACCTTACTTTATTTTTCAGTTATTTTCTATTGATGACAGTTAGTGGTAGTTATAGGAAATTCAGTTCATATACACTTTAACTTTACACACAAACTTCCTTCTCCTTTTTTCTTCATTACTCTTGTTCATGAATTATCCTTTTCAGATTTGATTCCTTCATTGATACAAGAAAAACATTTATCTTACACTTTTACTAACAAGAAAATGGTGTAAAGATAAGTGCTCTTACTATTGCAACATATAAGATACGATGTTTTCACTTATCTATAACTTGATGTCACCTTTTCAATAAGGTGATAGTAACTAATGCATTTAAGTGTTAAACTTTTTCTCTGCAATTTCCAAACAGCAATGTAGCTTTTCTTGGTGGTTTCCATTTTATCCATTTCTTTTTAAAAGTGAAACCAAAACACTTTTGCAAAACATAAAGCAAACAAAAGAGAAGTGAAAAAAAGGTTAATGCATGGCAAGGTACTAACAACTCCATGCACGTGTTTCATTCAACACATCCTTTTAACCTTTTCATTTATTGAACAATATTGAGTCCACTTAATTAGAAGCTTCATTTCACATTTTTTTCCATCTTAATTACTAAACCATGCATATATTCGTTTGTTTATTAATATGAAACATGGTACAATTAAGGTGGTGAGAGGAATGTAGTGACGAAAAAAGCACACATGAGTGTGGTTGATCAATTAGGAATAGTTGTTGGGAGTGGAAAATTCTGAGTTGGACTTGGACTACTTTTCCTATTTTCACACTCACTTTCCATTGTCTTTTTCTTTAGTGTTTTGTCAATATTTTTTTATCAACTATCATAATAACAATAATAATGTGAACTATAATACTACTGTCAATTATTTCTGATTTATTATTCAAAGTTCAAACCAATTGTATTTCTTTATCATTATCAGAATATTCTTTAAACAAGTTGCATTATATTAACAGTTAGAGAATTAGCTTCTGATTAAATAAGAGATTGTACAATAAAGCCAGCTGCCGAGGATCCATTTTGCTAAATCAAGTGGATTGCATTATAGAGTGTTTCAATTACAGTACTGGTTTTTGATGTTACAGTAATCAAATGACAATGTTGTTGAGAAGTATGGTAGAGTTGAACAAAAAAATGTGCATAAAATGATAGAATGATAGATTTTTAAATTGGTAGTAAGAACAAGTTGAAGAATTTATGATACACATGTATGAATAGCAAGTACAGAAGACACACTTGACCCCATAGTTGAGACTTGAGAAGAGCCCAAGGCCTCATAGAGAGAAGCTTGTACCACCAGCCCATATGAAAGAGAGATTTTATCCTGCTACCCTCTACTTTGATCTGACACCACCACATATCATATGTATTTATCATTTTAACCATGTAAATTATTAAAACTCATTTTACAAAACTATTGGACCATTTCGCAAAACATCTCACGATTACCGGATTTTTTAAAACAAATTACTAGATATTTCAAAATTCTGAGTAATAAGTAATAGTTTTTACCTCATTTTTTAGTTTATACAGTTTTTTTTTTTTTTTTTTCAGTTTTACAGATTTTTGAAAATATCCGATGAAAATACATATTATATATGCAATTTTATTGGATTTAAAAAAACATCGATAAAAACAAATATATTTTTTCGGATTTTTTGAAAAATCCGATAAAAATACATACACTATATCAGATTTTTTGAAACAACTGATAAAAATGCATGCATTTTAATCGGACTTTTTAAAAAAATGCGGAAACAAGTATGGTTTATACTTGATTTGTCAAAAATTCGGGAAAATATGGGAATTTTTATCTATTTTTTCATTAAAATTGGGAATAGTCATAGTGTTACCAGATTTTTCAAAAAATTCGGTAGATTAAATAATCATGTTTTTTTCAGTGAATATTAGATGGAACAATTACTTCTCGGCAGCATGATAGAGTTGAGGTTGATGTATGTATTGAGGGCTCGTGCGAGGAGAGATGACATAAAGGCTTTGTATATCCGGGCGGGGGGAGTAACACCTACCGATTCTCACAAGAGGCAGTTGGCAGCTGACCAGTTTCGTGCACCCCGCAATATACAGTGTAGAGGATCTAGACCTCTTATTGGATGGACGAGAGATGATGAGGCAGTTGATGTTCAAGCAGCAGTTCAAGATGACATGCAAATGGTGCCGAAGACAGAGGTGCCACATCCTTTTGAGACGACAGAGGTGCCTCATTCTTCTGAGACGGAGGCTCTGACTGCTATAGAGATTTCTCCGCGGAAGACTATTGAGGTGTCCGCTATGGATGATGTATAGGTACTCCTCTGCTTGAGACAAAGACCACTGCTTCGGCTTCGACCGAGCCATTTGTACAAATGGATGAAGGTTTTCCTGGAGGGCCCAATGACTATTATGTGCTCAGTGGTTTATGTCGATCATGTGACATTTAGATTATTGCAAGGCGAGGTTTGTATATGATATACGAATGATGTCACTTTATTTTTTATTCATACTTTTGACTTTGTTTGTTACATGACTGACTACTGCTGAAGGTACCCACCCACGAGAGGAAGTTGAAGAAGTTCTTAGATGTCTTGATGTCGGGAGATCAGGGCGATTGTCGAAGACAAATCTCATTTCACTTATGGATTGTTTGTGACCATGCTCGACGGTCAACTATTGACGTTCTTTGTTGAGTGATGGTATAAGGAGAGAATTTTGTTCCATCTTCCATTTAATGAGATGACGATTACCTTGGATGGTGTCTCTGCTCTGTTCCATCTTAGAGATGGCTTAGTTATTATTTATTTAAGATATTACTTATCGCATCACTTAAGGACAAGTGATGATTCAAGTTTGGTGTGTGATAACTCATTATTTGTGAGATATTTGTGATTCAAGTTTGGTGCATTGTATTTTTCTTTCTCTGTAGTAAAGTTATGGAGGTTGAGCTATTCTTCTTTCTCCCTTTGAGCTTGTTTCAAAGCATTATTTAAATCGTCTATTTTTTCTAAGGACATAGGTGGAGAATCTAAGACATCTGGCTACTCAGGATCCACGTCAAATGGTAACTTAACAACTTGCAGCCTATCCAAAACACATCGAGTGTAAGACTCTTTCGTCACACCATTCTTCCTTTCAGCCTTTCTTTTCACTACACCAAAAAAGACCTACGAAAGCGCTTTTTTTGGCCTTTAAAAGCGCTTAAAAGCGCTTTCTAAGGTGGCGCTGCTAAAGGTTTTAGCAGCGCTTTTTGTTTAATGAAAAGCGCTCTCATAGGTCTACTTATGACAACGCTTTTTCTAAAAAGCGCTCTCTTAAGTACCCTTATGGCAGCGCTTTTTCCAAAAAGCGCTCTCTTAAGTAGGCTTTTGGCAGCGCTTTTTCTAAAAAGCGCTCTCTTAAGTAGGCTTTTGGCAGCGCTTTTTTATGAAAAAGCGCTTTCATTGGTGGCGCTTTTTTTGGAAAAAAGCTTCCATAGGTTGTCTTTTAGCAGCGCTTTTTCTTGGAAAAGCGCTGTCATAGGTCTACCTATGAAAGCGCTTTATGTGAAAAAGCGTTGTCATAGGTCTATCTATGAAAGCGCCTTTCTCCAAAAAGCGCTTTCATAGGGTGTTTTTTTAGAGGTATTATTTATATCATTCATATCCCTGCATTGTTTGCCATAACCTGTAATTCATAAATAGCGGTAATGCATTGTAATTCCGATACCCCGTTCTCGTACTCTTTCGACAATCGATTGGAATACAACCGTGTCTTATCCATGGTTTACGGTTTCTGAGTCAAAACCAATACTCAATATAACAAAACCAATACTCAATACTTTTCACTAAATTCATTTTATTCTATCAACTACTTTAGTACACAAGTATAACACAAGAAACCATAAACAAGAAACTATCATTGCTCAAAATCAATCATAAATTATGTTTGTATCTCAAATTATATATAAACCATTGTTATCTGTATTCTAACTCAAAGTCAGTATTACAAAATCAACTCTAACAACAACTAAACCAGTCCTTATATTATTCTCTGCTCAATAAAATATTGACACAACTCCTCTTTGGTTTCTTCCAACTGAAGTTTCGTGTAATATGCACATTTGTACTCATCGAAGTACTACATAAGAAAACATAATATGCATGATTTAGTTAAAAGTAAAAAATTATATGGAATATCCGAGAAATAATAAAACAAATTCTAAGTTATAAATTCATACCGTGACTGGAATCTCTATTTGATTCAGTTGAATGATTTCTTTGATAAACCGCATAACGAAGTATCCGCAATCTATATCGTTTTGTTGTTGAGGACACTACATAGAAAAACAAATAAGAATATATAGTTGTATTGTTTTATCAAATAGCGCAAATATTATAATCAAAATAGTGGAAATTAATATACCTGCACTTTGATCCAATTAATATTGTTTGATTTAGACCGTCGTACCCGAGCTTCTCTTTGACACCGGAATACTTGTATCGCTCTAACAAAATTAAAAATATATATTTAGAACAATGTCACAGAAATAATTAAATACATAAATACACATAAATATTTAGAATAATCTCACTTACGTATCAATCATTAACTTCATATCCGGATAATTTGTCCAATCACCATCAACCGAATTCAGATAATAGACCACTTCTTTTATAGGATCGATAGCAACCAACAACCAGTGACGTCTATAAATTAAAACAACAGTTTAGAAGAAATTTTTCTACGCAAAAATTACAAATATTAAAATGAATTTAGAATGAAAATCTAACCCTGTAGGAATAGTATTATACGCCCAAAGATATAGGCTTTCTGTACTGCCAGTTGCCATGAATCTTTCGACTAAGTGCTCTCTTACTGAATCCGGTTCCCTACCAATTGTCGCTCCGCTGACACGGGAGGAAGACACAAAATGGAATCTGTTTGACAATTGATTCCCGCGCATCAATTTGTCATATAAGAGCCTTAAATAGAAACATAATTAATATTAGAGTATATTCATTGAAAATGTTTAAAAAAGATTTCAGCTAATTACATAATATAAAGATGGGGTTACCGGATGTATGCATGCATAATACTGACGCCCAATTCTTTATGACGGAAAATTTGTTCCACGTCCTCATGTCCAATTATTTCTGTGCAAGGAAAACCAAAAATACCTTGATCCATATCAATTTGACGAATACCACCATCCATCAAATTTGTTGTTCCCACTATTGTTTCAAGACACTGCCGGTATCGAGGGAAAAATCTAGTAGGCACCCTTTTCTTGGGTGGTACGCCAATGATTTCCTGGCTCACTTGTTGTGACCCATGAAAAGGTACCTAAAAATCATATAAACTCGGTTAAATTATAAAATTATGCAGTTTTTTATTCGGATCATATAATTAACACTTTAAACGTACCTCTTTTGGTGATACGTCAGACTCGTCGTGCCGCAAAATCCCTTTACCCTTAGATGCGGGTGTTGTAGGAGTCTATAATTACTGTGGAAATAACTGAGGTCAGAACTGACAGTTGAAGACTTAAAGATTCATAATTGTTTTCAACATACCTGATCATCTATGAAAATGAGGTCGGATGGCCATGCAACAAAAGATCCAATTGCATCTCGCAGCAATGTGGTCTCAGCAACAATGTCAGGTACCGGCAGCAATGCATCCATATCTAAAGCAATGTCAAACGATACTTTCATGTGACCATCCGAAAGAGGTCTATTATGAAGTAAATCTCCCGAACTGTTATGGACTTTTCCCTTGCCAACTAGTCGATAAGTCGGTGACGATAGGTAGAGCTGGCAAGATGAAATGCCCTAAACCAATAATAACCGTTAGAAGTGACTAAAAATATTCTATAGTAATAACGGATATATATTGAAAATTACCTCGGGAAATTTATGCTGAAAGTTGATACTAGCTTTGTCACTAGTTTCTTTCAAGTGTGAACTGCTCTTTTCCGCCATATATCTCTCTTTATCCTTCTGCAATTCACGAACTTGAGCTTGTAAATCCTGCAATGTTTGCATCACTTCTGCATTGCTAGGATTTCTTCTCCTTGGATGCTTATACAAAGAGGTTGGAGTCACACCATGACCTTTACCCCTCACCCGACCCGGATACTCAGCAATATTTAGTGCTCGACTAAGTACGCTCCTGGTATCGTGAGGATCCTCACCTGGGGATACCGATTGGGACAAGGTCTCCTGTAATTCAATTACATATAAAAAATTATTAGTGGAGATAAAAAATTACTTAAATATTAATAAACATTAATTGATTTAACTAAAGACACAATCTTATACTTACACATTCATCATACACATGTTGAATATCGGGATTAACAGCTTGATCCTTGCCCACACGGGCTTCCTTCCACAACAAATGTGTCGGTAGTGATGTTGCGTCACTTTTCGTCTCTTCTAACTACACAATGACAGAGGTCTTAAGATCATCATCTATATAACACATTGAGAGAATTAATAAGATCGTAGAGTTTATATTTACTTACAATTTTTTCCTCTAAGCGAGCATATCCCAAACGCCCTTTTTTGTATGGATATGCGGGTTTTGACGCTCTCTCGTGATTTATAGCACTCACTTTCTTGAAATTCTCACCTCTTCTTTGGCCTACAAAACCAACCCATTCTTCAGGTGTAATGAAGTTCTCATACTTCTTTGGACGTTCCGGATCCTCTTCAAGAAAATTTCCTTCATCATCTTTAAGATACTTGTTGGTTAAAAATGTTCTCCACCCTCTGTGTCTTTTTCCAGCCAAACCCATTATATACTTTTTACGGGTATCTTCAATGTTAAAAGACCTCTACAAAAAAACATACGCATAAAGTGTGTTAGTAAAAGAAATTTAAACACATATTATCGTCAAGATAAAGAAAATAACAAAAACCATATATGTACCTTTATCTCAGTCCAAACTTTCTCCTTAGCCTCATCCAACTCTCCTCTTTTCCATCTAGGAGTGGTGATCGGAATGTGTATACGAACAAGCGTACCAATGTAGCTTGTCAACTTTGCAGCATTAGACCCAATTAATTGGTCATTATCATTCCATTCTACATTATAGGTTACTCCTCTATCTCTATCACGTATGATTCCCCTCATAATAGTAATACCTCGTGTAATATCTTTTTCTGAAGTATTTTCTTGAGTATTTTCAAGAGCATTTTCAGGAGCATTTGCATTATCTTGATTACTAGCCATTTGACCTGTAATAATGAAAAAAAATAAACATGAAATGTCAAATAAAAATGAAATGACAAATATAAAAATGAAATGACAAATAAAAATGAAATGGC